GTTTTATTGTAAAGAGCCCCTTTAAAAATAATATATATATATATTTTAGAAATGTAAAATAATATACTGCAAATGTAAAAGTATTGTGAATATTTATTGTTGACTTTATTCCCTCAGGTCAGAGCTAAAAGTCAAAACAGATAATAAGGCCTGGATGGGACCTGCTGAGTAGCACGATTGAAAGGCAGATATGCATGTCTGTGTGAACCAGTATGTAACAATTTCTGAAATTAAGGACAACATGTCCCTGTCACTAGCTGCTACAGTTTACGGAAGCCCAGCTCAATGGTGCATCACCATTTCTTATGGGGGACATGTCAGATATTAAACTGTGAAGATTTTTTTTTACATAAAATTAATCATATCCACAATGCCTTGTGTGGAATAAACAGGGTTTAAAAATCAGCAAAATGTCCTTAGATGGGGTACAGAACACAGACTTTAAGTACTGAGGAGGAAGGTGGTTGAAGGGAGAAGAGGTGGAATATATAATCTCCACATAGACCTATTCAACGTTTGACAAGAGCATTCAATTTGGACCTTCAATTTGTTCTGGTGGTTGCAAGAGGGCAACTGGATCTGGTGTTAGTTGAGTGGTTTAGCCACACATTCGCACAAGGTTAGAGAAGCCCGGTGCGATTTCAGGCTCCTTGCATAAAGCTTCAGTGAGTAATTGATCTTGGTAGTTGGACCCTTGATGTTTGGTTTGACAGCAAGTACCAGAAACTGGGAGTCTCCGGTCATCAGTTCACAGGGAGCTAGACCACGCCAGGTCTCGCTGTGAAACACCAGCATATCATCAAACCCAGAAGGGGCAGGTTACACTACAGTCCCAGAGGGGATTGAGCTACACACTGTCTGCTCTAGGAAGAGAGTAGAGTATGAGTGGCAGACACTTGTAGTGAGGTGTCTGTGTCCGCTCTGGTTGAGCAAGATACAGGGGGTTTCAAGGAAAGCTCTGGCTCATGGTGAGACAGGAATGTAGTGGAAGATGGTTAAACTCCCAGGAGTCAGCAGTTAAATGTTCAGGATACCGAGAGCAGGGGATAATCTCACTGGAGCAGTGGATTCAGTCATTTCCAAGTTGGCATGCTGGTTAAAAGACAGTGTGGAGTGGGATCAGGCAAACGGAATCAACCGGGATGAGGCACTTGCCACCACTACTCTGAACACAGTACCGACCTGTTCACGAGGCTTGCTGCTGATGCTAACCTCGGGTGGATCCTCTGGTTACTCTCTGGCAACCTCCACTCTAGACTCTTAGAACAGAGGAAAGTTCTGGCACTCGGACACACTGGCCGTTCCGTGGTTGTCCGGGCTGAGTCTACGGATGGTCAGGAGG